CCATCTCTTGTCTCCCGCCACAGAATTTGGATTTGGGGGGGAGGGGGGGGGGTTGGTTTTGTTTGGTATTGTTTTGGGTTTTTTTTTCAGACATCTGTAAAACTAGAATCATTGCTTAGCCATGCCTTGCCAATACCTTTGGAAGAAACAATGTTTACCTCTTGCCAGAATTACTGATTTTTCTGTCTGGCAGGAAAAGTAGGATGACCACTTGTGCAGTCTCTCCATTTCAGTTAACTTCTTAATTTTTTTTTTTTTTTTTTAAAAACTTTTTCTTTCTTTTTTAAGTCGACATTTAGTTGACACCCTCATGTAACAAATGTAATGCAGGAATGTGAACAAAAGAGATCACCAACTGACTGAGAAGTACTCATGCACACAACTGCCAACTGCTCATGTTCAAAGGCAGGAAAACATTGGCCAAGCTAAACTTTTGTCAGCTTCAATGTCCTAGAAGCTCTGGTCTACGCAAGAGTTCCAGGGATTTGCTTTGGAAAATACTCGTAACAAGGACACACATACAACTGCTTTTCCCAGCAGTTCAGCTCAGACTGCGTGGCAAATAAAGCACAACATTGCTGAAAATTAACTCCTTTTAGATAGATCTTCAGTCTCATCAGCATAAAGAGTTTATTCCCACTTGTTGTTTATTCCCACATGATTAGGAGGAGAAAAAAACGTCCAAGTGGGAAACAGGTCTCAATTCTCCTGTTGAAAGTGGCTCAACTGCCCAGGAGTTTCGTCTTCGTTATGAGAAATGGACACACCCAGGAATCCAGGCAGACGAAGCTGGTTTATCAGGTACATGAAGGTACGTTTGCGTACAAACCTGCATTTCTGAGGGGGCACAGCTATCTCCCTAATGGAGGCACAGTTACATGACTGAACAGCTCGATTGCATAAGGTGCTCAACAAAGCTACTTTGAATTAGCTCAAGATGAACACATAAGATTACATGAGTCATATCACACTTATATGAAAACATTTTAATTCAAAATAAAACTCTGTCCACATGGGCTAACTATTCCACTTTAACAGCAAATTCAAATTAGTTTCAGAGCTTGCCTACATGAAGACAAGAGGAAAATTAGTATCTACTCACAGGCCTTCTTCTTTGATTATTTCCAGTAGGACTGCCGGTGTTGTCTTAGACTTCCGCTTCTCATCAACTGGAAAACAGAAGAACCAAACTTTTAGATTATTCTGATTTTTAGCACTCATTTTTCAACACTTTATCCTTCCTATTCTGAGCACGGAATCACAGAATGGTTTGAGCTGGAAGGGATGTTATAGATCATCCAGTTCCACCTCCCCTGCCATGGGCAGGGACACCTTGCACTAGACCAGGTTGCTCAAAGCCCCCTCCAGCCTGTCCTTGAACGCTTCCACGAAGGGGGCAGCCACAGCTTCTCTGGGCAACATGTTCCAGCGCCTCACCACCCTCACGGTAAAGAATTTCTTCCTTATATCTAAACCTACCCTCTTTCAGTTTAAAGCCATTACTCCTCCTCCTATTACTCCATGTCCTCGTAAAAAGTCCCTCTCCAGCTTTCTTGTAGGCCCCTTCAGGTACCGGAATGCTGCTCTAAGGTCTCCCTGGAACCTTCTCCAGGCTGAACAACCCCAACTCTCTCAGCCTTTCCTCACAGGAGAGGTGTTCCAGCTCTCTGACCGTTTTTGTGGCCCTCCTCTGGACCCGCCTCAACAGATCCATGTCCTTCCTGTGCTGAGGCCTCCAGAGTTGGATGCAGGACTCCAGGTGGGGCCTCACCAGAGCAGAGCAGAGGGGCAGAATCACTTCCCTCGCCCTGCTGGCCACGCTTCTCTTGATGCGGCCCAGGACACAGTTGGTCTTCTGGGCTGCGAGCGCACGCTGCCGGGTTATGTTGAGCTTCTTATCAACCAACACCCCCAAGTCCTTGTCCCCAGGGCTGCTCTCAAACCATTCTCCACCCAGCCTGTATTTGTGCTTGGGTTTGCCTCGACCCATGTGCAGGACCTTGCACTTGGCCTGGTTCATCTTCATGAGGTTCGCATGGGCCCACCTCTCAAGCCTGTCAAGGTTCCTCTGGATGGTGTCCCATCCCTCCAGCGTGTCAACTGCACCACGCAGCCTGGTGTCATAGGCAAACTTGCTGAGGGTGCCCTCAATCCCACTGTCCATGTCGCCCACGAAGATGTTAAACAGCAACAATCCCAACACTGACCCCTGAGGAACACCACTCGTCACTGGTCTCCACTTGGACCAGAAGAGTACATTTCTTCTTCCTCAAAGCATAGACGTTCCCTACTTCTGCAGCAATTCCAGAAAGCATCTCTATATTGTCATTTGCTAGGTAAGGCTACTTCCTTTTTCATTCTTCCCCAGACTAGCAGGTTCTGTCGGGCACCAGAGTAGCCACAGTTACCAACTCCTAACCTGATAGCTGTGACATGAACTGAAGGTAGGTTTACCTTAGGTAAGAGACTAGAACTGGGCCTGCCTAACTGCTCTCAGAATTGTACCTTGGACTCCAGACTAGTTCCACTAGCAGAGCAATCTCTTACAGTTAATCTGCAAACAGCTAAGCCTTAGCAAAACACTGTTTCTTGCTGCATTGAAAGCTGCTCAACAGCGATATGGTGCTAATTTCTCAACCACGTATTTTTGACGACCTGGCTGATGATCTCCATCTAGTTCTTAGTAATGCTTTAGTCACAGTGCTAAAATGCTTGGCGATTCTGTGACTTTTGATTGGGAGACAGAGCATTACAACCACAAAGTTTATACTCGACATTCCTACTCTGTCCTAACCTTGACTTTTCCCATTAAACCATTCTCAGGAATAACTGTAGCCTAGTTTTTCACAGTACTGCCCCTGCGTTTTGAAGTGTTCTCAGCAGCCAAAAGCAGCAACAAACGAACATAATCCTGTGTAATCTCACATCTTTATTTTTCTTTTTGGTCTTAGATAACCATTTAAAAGCCATGCCTGGCCACACATCACACAGCCTTTTCAGCTAATTAAAAGGTTGACCAATACTTTCATAAGGCAGAATTACCCTTCACCTGGAAAAATGGTGTTAGTGATTAAATGGTGCTAGTGTTACGCAGGTAAGATTCCTGCTCAGGCAAGACAGGTCCCCCTACAACCACCCTTACAAGTGCCCAAGCCAAGATGAACAGAAACACCATTGTACAAAGAAACTGGAGATTGACACTTACCCTGAAGTCGAAGCCTAGCTGTATCCAACGGAAAAAACACAGTCATTGCAGTCATACTGCCCTGAAAAACAAAACAGACTGGCTATAAAATGTATCAGTTGCTTGTACAGAAGATGCCTGCCAGACTTCGCAGCCCTTCACTTCTCATCCAGAAAACAGTGTAGTGAGCAAGTTTAAAAAGGGGATAAACTCCATACATAACAAAGTCTTTTTGAAGTATTTTTTGGTCCTGCACTTACAAAACAAGTTTTTTCTCTTGCATTAGATCAACCTAAAACTAAAAACATTAGAAATTTTTTGCCCAAAGAGAAAGTTTTTGAAGTCTAAGAGCTGATAAAGTGGGTATCAGGAGACAAACATACTGTACTTTCTCTGCCTCCCATTAGCCTCAGTATCCAATCTTTTGTCTAAAAAAAAAAAATGGCACAAGCAACCGTTGTGTTACAATAACCCTGCTTTCACTTTAGAAAAAAGAAACAGGAACTTCTGTTCATTAAAAACTGATAATACAAGTTTTTCCCTACTTAATCCAGCATTGTACCAAATTCCAATGTAGGCAATAAAGATCTGCCTACCAAGACACCCCGTGGCATGAATTACATAGGATGAATTAAATCATGACCTAGACATCACCAGATTCACTTCCTGTGAATCCAACACTCTCTCTTCACTTCCTGTGCCATCCAACCGTTAAAGCCTCTAAACAGAAAAGCCAGCAGCCACTCTCCTTTACAACACGGTTAAATACAGTCATTTGCAAATGCTCTTATCTTCCACGCAGGCAGCTGTTCCCTCTCCCTCCACCACCATTCAGCTTCTTCATTCTTTGAATGAATTAATCTCTAGCATTAATATTGCACAGCTTTTGGAAAAGATACCTAACTCAGTAAGATCCTGGCATGGTGTAACCTGTTAACACTCTACGGCAGTATTAAATGCATTTAGTGGCTGCTAAAGCCATGGCACTCTTCCATTAGTAACCATGCGAACCGTTTAAATGGTGGGAAGGTCTGGGATACCGCAAGTCACACAAGCACTGTGTTTAAAGCACACCACACAGTCCAACTTGAACTTTATTCTAGAGCTATGTTATGCCATACATTCAGGCAAGCTTTGCCACTGGAAACACTCTAGCTCCTGATCAGACTGCTTGGACCTATCTCTACAACCAGCAACAGAGGATTATTTTTCAGGTGGTGTTTCCTCACTAAGACAACTCTCAGTTGAAGCCTTAACAAAACTTAAGTTTGTCCAGTTTTCATAACACCAAGTAGCAGATGAAATGAAACACTTTGCCATAATTACCTGGTTATTTTAACCCATTTAGTTTGGGCTCTAGCCAGAAAGGTTGGTTCTGCTCTCCCATGTGTTCTCCTCTTGCCCTGTGTCTGCTCATTCTCAGTGACTGCTGTGTACACATCTGGACAGCAAGTAGGATTTACGAACCCAACCTGATTAAAAATTTACAAAAAATTAATTTCAGCGAGAAGGCCAGTACTAGCACAAAAGTGCCAGAAAGAGCCAAAATATACCTCCTGCTGACAGCTGCATTACAGCAGCTCTGAAGCCGACCTCAAAACACAGTTACACAGATCTGTGCACAAAACAGTCACAAGGCTGCACAGTCACTACAAGTTCCAGCCTTTCCCTGTTCAATTTATCCTGCTTCCATCCTCCCGAAGTGAGATTTATCCTGAATCCTGCTCTCAGTGCAATCCACCATACAGCAACACAAACACTTGCACTCACAAGCAGAAAATGGAAATGGGAAAATAGCTGGGGTAGTGGCACACAGAACAAAGGCGTGGACAGAAGGTACAGCATGGAATATTTCAGTTGGACCTGCAATGATCATCTAGTCCAAATGCTTGACCACTTCAGGGCTGACCAAAAGATTAAGGGCATTGTCCAAATGCCTCTTAAACATTGACAGGCCTGGGGCATCCAACACATCTCTAGGAAGTCTGTTCCAGTGTTCGACCACCCTCTCAGTGAAGAAATGCTTCCTAAGGTCCAGACTAAACCTCCCCTGGTGCAACTTTGAACAATTCCCATGTGATGAGCCTTACAGGCTTCTTAAAATTGGCTTAAAAGATATATGAAGTTATAGCTCAACAAAATGTCATGAGATAACTCAGCTGATCTAACAGATTACTGCCAATAAAAGATAATGTGCACCCTCACCCCTCCTTTTGCTAAATTGAGGAAAATAAACTCAGAAAAGCAGAGTTACTTTTCTCCTAGGTTTATAAATGGAAGAACTCAACTACACGGCGAGGAGAATGTCAGAAGCATCCCATGAAGGAGGCAGGATTTCATGGCAAGAAGAGAAAGGAGAAGGACGAGCCCTATCCCCAGCAACAAAAACTCCTGAGATGGGCTCAGATTCCTTACTGTATCACACTTCAGCGCGGCAGGGAAAGTAACCCACGTTACTGATTGCAGGAATGTATGCTGAAATGTATGACCCTGTACTGCCGAAAGGGCGAGGCTTCACTGTCTGCCTTCCTACCACCTCCCTGTCGGTGCCGAATCCCAGCAGCTTGCCAAATCAAGTCATGCTGTTGCTGAATAATCACTAGGACAGGTACAAACTGGCTTAAGCAATCCCAGCTCTTGGTCAACTGTGTTTGCATCGCTGCCTCTTTCATTCTGGTGGCATAACATTTTGGACACCTACACACTAATGTAGACAAGGAAACTCATCTGGCTGAAAAAGAAATTTTTCCACTGGGCTACTTCTTCAGTCGGATCAGTTCCCTGATCAGCTGCAGCACCACACAAACAACTGTGCAGTAGCCAAGAAGTGGCACTAAGTGGTCAGAACAAGTGGCCTGAAGTGACTCTGCTGCCACGAAGAGGCAGCCTAAAGTTTGGTTTTCTAAAAAATAATAACGATAAAAAATTAAAAAGTTGTCAGCCAACATTCAGTGCCAAACAAATCAGCGCCAAACAAATCAGCTTGATTGCTGTCATAAAACTCCTATAAAATTCTCATTCCTATTTCATTTGGAAGAGGAAGGTTACTTTATAGCTATATGCAGAGTTAAAGGATACTTAAAGTCATTCAAAGTTCACAAGAAATCAAGTACTGATTTTTTTGCTGCTCACGAAACTATTCCTCTGTCTCAGGTTTGACTAGGTAGCCTAGCAGATATATTAACTTTCACCATATTAGAATAGAAACAAAAATTATCATGTTGTGATCTGACATGTTCTTCTGACTCATTACCTCAGCACAGTTTTGTGGGTTGCTTTTTCTTTTTTATTTTTAAATTCTTACGCCAGATCTGCACACCAGTGTGCTTTATAATAACTTATAAACAAATGGTGAGACAATATCAGAACAGTCAGTACCCATGTCAAAGATCTTGCCAAAACAGTAAACAGAAATATCTAAATGGATGAGTATATCTTTACTACAACAAAAACAAACAAACAAAAAAATCAAGGTTTCCAACAAAAGGCGTAAGAAAAAGCCACCTCATTTCAAGAAAAAATCTTGTTCCAGAACTTTAAATTATATATGAATATTAGTGACAGAAAGTGGAAGTCATAAAGGTACAGAAGTCCAACAGCTGCAAAAAGTTCTGTCTTCCTTCACAGCAACATCACTGCAGCAGAGATATAAGCATCTTTAAACAGATGAAACAGGGAATTTCTACTAACTTTATTAATACCACCAAGGGACGTAAGATACCATTTTATCACGCGTTTTAAGTTTATGGCTGGATTTATAAGTTTGATTCATACCCCTGAACTTTGTTCAGGAGCACAGCCTGATTATAGCGATCAGTGTATGAGAGTGAGCACCTAACAGTGAGGGCCAGGTAGTATCACCGACTTCTGTACAAGCCAGCATAAGGAGAGCAAGTAGGATTTCAATAACGAGATCATTCGAGAGAGTTCCATTTCTTGAAAGTGGAAACAAAATTCCTCTTGCCTTTGATGCTTAAATAAGCACACTTAAAACACTTTAAAGAGCAGACAACAATCCCATGTTTACTTATGATAAAGTCAAAACAATCTTTAGAGTCTTTTTTTCTTTTTAGAATCAGCCTTTATTGTTCAATAACATTTAGTGACTTTCATCCCCTATAAGACATTGCGAGTTATTTTAAGGACTCAAATTAGAACAGGAAGTTTTGCCAGAACAGTTGATCAGCAACTGCTAAGATACATATTTTGGTGTTCTTGCCAGTCTGGAATAACCCAGGAGTAAAGCTGCATCAGCTTGCTGGAAATCCATCAATACGTCTGGTCTAACACGCTACGCTGTGCTAGAATTCTTAATCTATTGAAGTACAAGACTGATTTGTTATTTACAGAGCCAGCACTCATTCATTCAGCGGCTGGGCATACTAGGGAATCTACAGAATCTACACAATACTTTTTAATTTACAAGTGTCTTATGAAAAGTTTAGGTCAGTAAGCTGTAGGGGCCTCCTCTAACTGCACTGCACTTGCTTCAAGTTTGGATTAACACCTCTGCCTTGCCTTGCCTCGCCCTTTGCGACTTCTATTTATTTATGAAACAATGGCAGAATGGGGATGCTTAGTACAACTCTGATACTGCACAGTTGAAGTGCTGTCCCTCCACTTTTACTTCTGGAAGGCTGAAAATTTTCATAATTAATTCAACGCCCAACTTCAGACGCTCACACGCTCACCACCTCCGAAGAGCCGGCCTCAAGACTTCTCAAATCCCCCCATCCAAAACCAGCGAGGCACAAAACGAGGGAGGGCTGTGCAAGACTCGGGCGTCAGGGGGTCCTCACCCTCTCCTCCGGACCGAGCAGGGCCTGGGCACGGCCGCGCAGGGGTCACGCCTCGGCACCCCCCGCCCGGGCACCCCAGCGCGGCGGGGCCCACTCCGGGCTCCC